ACACGTTGGGGATGGGGACAGGCTGGCACTTGGGGGATGGGATGACACCTTGGGGATGGGGTGACACTTGGGGACGGGGTAGGTGACAGCCTTGGGGACAGGGTAGGTGGCACCCTGGGGATGGGATGACACCTTGGGGATGGGGACAGGTTGGGATAACACCTTGGGGATGGAGTAGGTGACACTTTGGGGATGGGGACAGGCTGGCACTTTGGGGATGGGGTGACACCTTGGGGATAGGGTAGGTGACACGTTGGGGATGGGGTAGGTGACACCTTGGGGACGGGGTGGCACTTGGGGACGGGGTAGGTGACACCTTGGGGACTGGGTAGGTGGCACCCTGGGGATGTGACACCTTGAGGATGGGGACAAGTTGGGATAACACGTTGGGGATGGAGTAGGTGACACCTTGGGGATGGAGTAGGTGACACTTTGGGGATGGGGTGACACCTTGGGGATGGGGTAGATTGCACCTGGGGGATGGGGTAGGTGACTTCCTGGGGACAGGGTAGGTGACACCCTGGGGATGGGATGACACCCTGGGGGGATGTGGACAGGCTGGCACCTTGGGGATGGGCTGACACCTTGGGGATGGGGTAGATGGCACCGTGGGGATGCGGTAGGTGACACCCTGGGGACAGGGTAGGTGACACCTTGGGAATGGGAACAAGTTGGGATGACACCTTGGGGATGGGGTAGGTGGCACATTGGGGATGGGGACAGGCTGACGTGACACCTTGGGTACAGGGAAGGTGGCACCTTGGGGATGGGCCTATGTCCCCTGGGATGACACCTTGGGGATGGGGTAGGTGGCACCTTGGGGATGGGGACAGGCTGAGGTGACACCTTGGGTACAGGGAAGGTGGCGCCTTGGGGATGGGCCTATGTCCCCTGAGCTTTGGGGTGTGACAACTGGTGTGAAGGGAAGTGTCACCTGGGGGGGGTGACACTGTAGGGTCCTGACCCCTGTCCCCTGTGTCCCCAGAGGTCTCCTGTCCCCAGCCTGCCAAGCGCAAGCGCCGCTCTCTGCAGCTCGTTGAGGACAAGAACAACAAGGGTAGGTGACACTGGAGTGTCCCCTGTCCCCAAGGACACCAGGATGTCCTGTGCCCCTGGAGACACCAGTGTCCCATGTCCCTGAAGATGCCAAAATGTCCCAGGTCCCCAAAGGCCACCAGAGCTTCCATGTCCCAGTCAATACCAGTGTCCCGTGTCCCTGGTGATACCAGCGTGTCCCATGTCCCAGTCATCACCAGTGTCCCATGTCCCTGAGGGCCACCAGAGTGTCCCTGACCTCAAAGGACACCAGAATGTCCCACGTCCTTGAGGGCCACCAGAGTGTCCCCAACTCCAAAAGACACCATAATGTCCATGACCCCAAAGGACATCAGATTGTCCTTGACCTCAAAGGACACCAGCATGTCCCATGTCCCTGAGGGCGACCAGAGTCTCCCTGACCCCAAGGGCCACCAGAGTGTCCCATGTCCCTGAGGGCCACCAGAACTTCCCTGACCCCAAGGGCCACCAGAACATCCCATGTCCCTGAGGGCCACCAGAATGTCCCAGACACCAGAGTGTCCCATGTCCCTGAGGGCCACCAGAGTGTCCCCTGCCCCTGAGGGCCACCAACATGTTCCCTGTCCCTGGTGACACCACAGCATCCCAGAACCCAAAGGACACCAGAGTGTCCCATGTCCCTGGGGGCCACCAGAGTGTCCCTGACCCCAAGGGCCACCAGAGTGTCCCATGTCCCTGAGGGCCACCAGAGTGTCCCTGACCCCAAGGGCCACCAGAACATCCCATGTCCCTGAGGGCCACCAGAGTGTCCCTGACCTCAAGGGACACCAGAACATCCCATGTCCCTGAGGGCCACCAGAGTGTCCCTGACCTCAAGGGACACCAGAATCTCCCTGACCCCAAGGGCCACCAGAGTCCCCATGTCCCTGAGGGCCACCAGAGTGTCCATGACCCCAAGGGCAACCAGAACATCCCATGTCCCTGAGGGCCACCAGAGTCTCCCTGACCCCAAGGGACACCAGAACATCCCATAGTGAAGGTTGGGTGATGGTTGGGTGAAGGTTGAGCGATGGCTGGGTCAACCTTGGGTGAACCTCAGGTGTTGCCTGCACAGCCCTTGGGTGAAGGTTGGGTGAAGATTGGGTGAAGGTTGAGTAATGGTTGGGTAATGGTTGGGTGAACCTCAGGTGTTGCCTGCATAGCCCTTGGGTGAAGGTTGGGCGATGGTTGGGTGAAGATCTGGTGAGGGTCAGGTGAACCTTGGGTGTTGCCTACACTATCCTTAGGTGAAGGTTGGGTGAAGGTCAGGTGAACTTTGGGTGTTGCTTCTTCTGTCCTTGGGTGATGGTTGGGTGAAGGTCAAGTGAAGTTTGGGTGAACTTCAGGCATTGCTTGCAGTATCATCAGGTGATGGTTGGGTGAAGGTTGGGTGAACTTTGGGTGTTGCTTCTGCTGTCCTTGGGTGCTGGCTGGGTGACTCCTGGACACTACTGGGACAGGGCAGGGGTGATGCTGGGATCACGCTGGGGTTATACTGGCTCTGCCCAGTAGCTTGGCCAGTGAGGCCACAGTCGAGAGGGATGGTGCCACCCCCAGGCGAGGAAGATGACATCTTCCTGGATGAAGAGCACATCATCTCCCGAACCCTCTTCCCAGAGAGCTGGCTGTGGCAGCTGGAGCTGCTGTCCGAGAAGCCCGATAATCGGGGGTGAGTCCATGTCCCTGTCCCACCACCCCCTGACTCAACCTGGGGACCACAACCTCATCCCTGTCAAGCTCTGGAGACCAGCTATGACCTCCCCATGGTCAAACAAGGGCCACCTTGACCCCCTGGTGCCACCTCAGGACCAGCCATGGCACCTTGATCAAACTCAGGGGCCACCTCCAACCCCCTGGTCCAGCCTGGGACCAGCCAAGATGCTCCCTACTCCAGCCTGGTGGTTGGTCAAATCTCCTCTGTGCAATGGTTGGGCGATGGTTGGGTGAAGGTTGAGCGATGTCTGGGTGAACCTTGGGTGAACCTCAGATGTTGCCTGCACTATCCTAGGGTGAAGGTCAGGTAATGGTTGGATGAAGTTTGGGTAATGGTTGGGTGAAGGTTGGGTCAACCTTGGGTGGACCTCAGGTGTTGCCTGCACAGCCCTTGGGTGAAGGTTGGGTAAAGGTTGGGTGATGGTTGGGTGAAGATCAGGTGAGGGTCAGGTGAACCTTGGTTGTTGCTTACACTATCCTTGGGTGAAGGTTGGGTGAAGGTCAAGTGAAGGTTGGGTGAACCTCAGGCATTGCTTGCAGTATCATCAGGTGATGGTTGGGTGAAGGTTGGGTGAACTTTGGGTGTTGCTTCTGCTGTCCTTGGGTGCTGGCTGGGTGACTCCTGGACACTACTGGGACAGGGCAGGGGTGATGCTGGGATCACGCTGGGGTTATACTGGCTCTGCCCAGTAGCTTGGCCAGTGAGGCCACAGTCGAGAGGGATGGTGCCACCCCCAGGCGAGGAAGATGACATCTTCCTGGATGAAGAGCACATCATCTCCCGAACCCTCTTCCCAGAGAGCTGGCTGTGGCAGCTGGAGCTGCTGTCCGAGAAGCCCGATAATCTGGGGTGAGTCCATGTCCCTGTCCCACCATCCCCTGGCTCAACCTGGGGACCACAACCTCATCCCTGTCAAGCTCTGGAGACCAGCTATGACCTCCCCATGGTCAAACAAGGGCCACCTTGACCCCCTGGTGCCACCTCAGGACCAGCCATGGCACCTTGATCCAACTCAGGGGCCACCTCCAACCCCCTGGTGCCACCTCAGGACCAGCCATGGCACCTTGATCCAACTCAGGGACCACCTCCAACCCCCTGGTCCAGCCTGGGGACCAGTCAAGATGTTCCCTACTCCAGCCTGGTGGTTGGTCAGATCTCCTCTGGCTTGGAGCCTGTTGTGACCCACCTTGGTCTTTCCCACCCTCTCCAGAATCTCCAAGAAGACTGTCCCTATCTACCTGAAGGACACCATCACCACCTGGGAGGTCCTGGGCATCAGCCTCTCACCCACCAAGGGTATGTGATGGAGCAGGAAGGTGTCCCTGGGACGGTTGGCAAGGGACCTCCAGTTGGGGTGCTGGGTGGTCACCTGAACCCCAGGACCAAGATCTGTGTGTCCTGCAGGTGCGGGTGGAGCTGATGCACAACCCGTCCCTCTGCAGCGCCTCCACCTCCAAGCAGCGCTACCAGCAGATCATCAAGGTGAAGGGACAATCCTCCTGGGCTGTCCCCTTTGTCATTGTCCCCCTCCAGCTGGGGCTGCAGGATGTGGAGGTGAAGGCAGCTGTCCGGGGCAAGGCTGTGGCTGACGGGGTCAAGAAGAAGCTCAAAGTGGTGGTGAGTGGTCATTGCTGCTTGGGGAGTTCTTCATCTCATGGGACTTCTGGAGGGGGATGAAGGACCAAGGGGAAGGCTGGGGTATCTTGGGGAACAAGGGACATCCCCAAGTTCGTCTGGAGTATCTTAGGGACAAAGGACATCACACTGTGGAGCTGGGGTGTCATGGGGACAAGAGACATCCCATTGTGGAGGTGGGACATCCTGGGGACTAGGGACATCCCAGTGTGGAGGTGGGATATCTTGGGGACAAGGGACATCCTGGTGTAGAGGTGGGACATCCTGGGGACAAGGGACATCCCAGTGTGGTGGTGGGACATATTGGGGACTAGGGACATCCCAGTGTGGTGGTGGGACATCCCTGGGGACTAGGGACATCCCGGTGTGGAGGTGGGACATGTTGGGGACAAGAGACTTCCCACCTGAGATGTCCCCAGCGTGGTCTCCCTGTGCCATCCCTGTCTCCAAGTTCATCCTGGTGTTGGTGGCCAGGGATGAAGGATCCTCCCCCCAGGATGCTCAGTTCTGGTCTGCTGGGGTTCTCCCAGTTTGTCCCATGAAGAACTGGGAGGTGCTGGTTTCCACCGGGACACCTTTCCTGGACAACCTGGAGAGGTTGGGAATGGGGGAACCCCAAAACCAGCTGCACCTTCAGCCTTGGCCTCTCCCCCCTGCAGCCCGAAGGGATGAGGTTGGAGAAGACGGTGACGATCGTGGAGTTGGACCCCAAGACCAAGGGAGTCAGTGAGTGGTCCCAGCTGGGCTGGGAGATGTCTCAGCCCCACAGGGATGTCCCACTGGGGGCACCTCAGGGAAGTCCCATCGTGGGGCTGGGACATCTTGGGGGGATGAAGGATGAACCACCAAGGGTAGGACTGGAGAGTCTTGGGGACAAGGGACATCCTGCTTGGAGCTGAGGCACCTTGGGGACAAGGGACATCCTGCCTGGAGCTGGGGCACCTTGGGGACAAGGGACATCCTGCTTGGAGCTGGGGCACCTCGGGGACAAGGGACATCCTGCCTGGAGCTGGGGCATCTTGGGGGAGACAAGGGACATCCTGATGTGAGGACTTCTGGAGGGGGATGAAGGACCAAGGGGAGGGCTGGGGTATCTTGGGGAACAAGGGACATCACACTGTGGAGATGGGGTGTCTTGGGGACAAGAAACATCCCATTGTGGAGGTGGGACATCCTGGGGACAAGGGACATCCCAGTGTGGAGGTGGGACATCCTGGGGACAAGGGACATCCTGGTGTGGAGGTGGGACATCTTGGGGACAAGGGACATCCCGGTGTTGAGTTGGGACATCCCTGGGGACAAGGGACATCCCAGTGTGGAGGTGGGACATCCCTGGGGACAAGGGACATCCCAGTGTGGAGGTGGGACATCC